TATGGAAATATCAAGAAATTTCACATAGTAAGCATTTTGTTGAGTGGTTATGAATCATTGGGCCACAGCAAGGTATGTTTTTATGAAGAGGGGTGTTTGATTAATTAATCACTAAGATCTTTCCCAGTGCTTAACATTATGACATCTTCTCTTATTGGAACGGCAAGGGCAAATCTCAGATCCTGTTAATGAGCATCTTTAGATTAAGAATGTTTGCATGTAGATGCAGGTTTATAAAAGCCATATTCAACACCAAGGTGACATTTTAAATGCCAACTTTCCTGACTTTCTTGAGCTAGTCTACAACAGTATGGGCAGAAGAAGGGTCCAGGATGTCCTCATTTTTCATTGATGAAGGGCTGTCTGAAAAACAGTGTTTACAAAAACATTCCTCTGCTGATTGTATCCCCTGCAGTTCCAGTGAGGGGTCTAAGAACTTGGGAGGGCAAAGGCAGTGATGGGTGAGTGGATCCTTTGTCGCCATTCTTGAGCTCATCGTCAATAAGACCACTCTGCCATTGGAGGTGGAAAGGAACCTGATGGTCTCTGTTTGTTTTAGCAGCCTGTGCCCTGAAGATGCACACATCCAGAGAATGACAGAGAGCCATTTTTCCAGGCCAAGGCTAATATGTGTTTCCATAACACTGTGGGAGGCTGAAAATGCAAGCCGCACAGGCTTGTCCCCAGTCTGTGAATAAACATCCCTCTGCTTCCAGAGATACCGTCCCTAACTCACCTTTCAGCTACTGGAGATTCGTTTTTAAAAATTAAGGAAAGAAAATGAAGAGATCCATTTTTTTGAATCCCAATGATCCAGGTTATCAAGGAGATAAAAACTTTCTTATTTATCATCATCAACATCTACAAGGGCAGAGGCAGCAAATGAAAGCTGAGCATCCAGAAAACTTCAGTCTCATCAGATTCATTGCAGTCCTCAAAATATCAATTTATTGCCATCCATGATTTTCATGAACTTATTATTCTGAGAGCCCACATTTAAATGGCACTAACAATTAGCTCTCTACCCAACACAGAGCATAACTATGCTTTGCTGATGTAAATCTCATGGTTTAGAATTCTTCACAAAACACCTGCTCAAATCCTCAGTTCTCAGAATATAAGGTACCACAATAGTTTAAATCTGGAAAGGACATGAAGCAAAGAAGTTAAGGACTTCATATTAAAATGCTCATGAGAATTAGTAAAGTCTTACACATTGCCTGCAAATCATAAGCATCATACACATGAAATAACTTTTCTGGAATAAGGTGTTAACAATTCAGTATTAATTGCTTCCACTACTTCCTTATTTTATTTTTCATAGCATAGTCTGATTTTTTCTTTTGCATTACTATTGTACTTGATTTTGAATGCACATTACATTTTCATTCATGTTTTACTTAAGCCATGGATGAAAAGTCTGGCATTTTTATTAATACATAACCTTTTCAAACTCTGTTCAGACTCCTGTTAGTTTCTAATGAGTAAGTGGGTAAACGTCTTTGAGGGGGCTTTTCTAGCCAATCACAGACAGCTTACTAGCCACAGAAAAAAATGTTTTTCTTAATAGGGTACAGAAATAAAAATCATAATAGCTAGCCTTTTGTCAGCACTTAGTACCATGTCAAGCACTATACTATTTTATGTGCATTCACTCATGTAAAATGTACAACAAATCTATGAAATAGTCACTAGGATTACTCTCAGTTTAAAAGAGATGTAAATGTTAAGTAACTTAACCCCGTATAAAGGGAATACATATTGAACGTGAGATATATTGACACATAGGCATAGAGAGAACAGCGAACTAATTATGTGTACATCTTTGTGATGTCACATTTAATGTTTTTATTAAAAAAAATGAAGCACAAGTTTTGATTATGGCAGTATATGGACTAGATTTCCTGATCAATTTTCTGCTGAAAACAACTAAAATGTTGGGTAAGACAAATGTATCAATAATCTGACAATAAAGTAAAAGATAATTAGAGGGTAAAACCTAGAAATAGAAACCAGAGGGGTCAGCTGAATTCTGCATTCATCCTAAAGGTATTCACTAAAACTCAATGGGTTTGAACTCAATTCCATGGCTTCATGGTATGCAGAGGACAAGAGATAAAATTCAGGGCATATTCAAATTTTAGACCAGAATATACTCTCCCACCCTGCACAAATATAGAACCTCAGAGGTTACATCTGCAGTGGGAGGCTGAACTAGAAATAAAACCATTTCAATTTACACTGTGGTCTACAAAGAAAGACACTGTCTAAACCTTGGTGCTAGAGAGTGAAATTTTTTTTCCTGAGAATTTGTAATCATAAGTTACATTGTATATGATTTTTCAGACCGATTGTACACTAACTAGGTAGTTTGGGGAATCCTCAAGCTAAAACTTTAAAGTGGTAACAGCTTGGCAATATCTCTAGGCACCTAGCAGAAGCAAATCCAAATCTTCTCAGAAAGAACTTGTGAGACCCAGACCTCAATTAATTACTTCAGGAAGCACTCCAGGAAATATAAGTCAAAAATAATAAAACACAGAAGGACGCAAAGCATATGCAAGCCAGTCACAGCAATAGACAGCCGACTCATACTGGTAAAAATTACAGACCAAACTATGAAACAATGTTCTTCATATTTCAAAAATAATAAAGGATTAAATATAAAATATGATTCACAATAGTACAAAATAACTCCCAAGCATGATTTACAAAGGTAAAAATTAAACTTCCAGAAAAACATCAAAAACTAACATTAAAATCTTAATGGTCAGTTTTAACAAGAGTGACATTTAATAAATCAGAAGATAGATCTAAAAAAGTTATGAAAAGAAACTACAGAGCAAAAAAATAGAATATTTGAAAGAAAGTTTAAGAGACATGGAAGAGAAAGTGAGATGATCTAACATACATTAAATTGGAGTCCCAGAATTAGTGGTGGAGAAAAAATATTTGAGGAAAAAAAGAGATAACATCTGATAGTTTTAAAAAAATAAATAGCCCTAACCCGTAATTCAATAATCCAACTAATCAAATAAATCCTAAACAGAATAAAATTTAAAAACCTCATCTAGATATGTCAGAGTAAAATTATAAAAAAAAAACCCAAAGACAATGAAAAGATTTTGAACCCAGCTAAAAAATAATTTTGTGTGCTTACAATTTGTGAATTTTAGTGTATGTAAATTATATCCCAATAAGGCTTATTTTAAAAATCTAACTAGAGATGAAGGAAACTGTCTAAAAACAAATGCCAGTTAGACTGTAGCTAACTTCATGAATAGCAATATTAGAAGCCAACAATAGCAACATTAGAACAGTAACAAAATCCTGAACGTGCTGAGGAAAAAAGATCAGCATGAATTTGCAAAAATTTCAGAAATAACTCAAGAATGAAGATGAAAGAATTTCTCAAACTAACAAAATCTGAGAAAAATTCTGCCTGACAGAATCCCTCCTCCACACACAAAAGTCATAAATGTAATTCATGGAGAAAGAAAATGAACCCAGATATAAATATGTAAAATACCAGGAAAAACAATTACAGTAAAAGTAAATATAAATGCAATCTAAAAATACTGATTTACCATATAAAACAATAATAATAAATCATTCTGAAGTTTAAAAACATGATAGAAAGATATATAATACATTCAGGACAGATAGAAAATACAAAATAAGAAAGTAGAAGTTAATTCAAATATAAATAATAATAAAAAATTGCAAGTTGAGTAAATGCTCCAATATAAAGACAAATATTTTCAGAGTGAATTAGAAATGAAATCAACTATATACAGCAACCACAATATACATAATATACAGATTACAAAAGATTAAAATTGGAAAATGTATACTGCAAAAACACTAATCAAAATAAAGCTGATGAAGCACATTAATATCCGGCAATATGGACTTTGGAGATATTTATTAAATAAGGATAAATGAATCAATTAATGAGAAAGATATTAATACTAAATTTGATTTTACCTAATAAGACATCCTCCAACTATATAAACCAAAAAATGATGGATGTATGAGGGGAAATAGATACATTTTCCAAAATACCAGAGGATTTTAATATACCCCTCTCAGTAATTAATAGTAGGTAAAAAATCAGAAAAGATATATTTGTACAACACTATTAAAATAATGTGATAAAAGCGGATAAAACACTGCACACAGCAAATACAAGAGTACTTCAAAAAGCTCATGGAAAATAGAATTTAAAGATAATATTAACCTTTCCATAAACTTTTTGAAGTACCCTCGTAGAAGACACTTATACTTTTTAAGCAGAATTTCTTAAAATTGACCCATACTGGGCCTCGAATTAAATTTTACGAATATAAAACAATTTATCTCATACTTATAGATAATATCTATACCCTAGAGAACTCTTGCACTAGTGCACCAAGAAACATATATGAGGGTACCTCAAAAAGTTCATGGAAAAATGAAATGAAAAGATAATATGAATCTTTCCACGAACTTTTTGAAGTACCCTTGTACATGAATGTTCACTGCTGTGAACTACTTTTAATACCAAAGACTGATTTTTAACATCTGTAGAATCAATCAATAAATTTTGGTTTTGTGAAACAGAAGACTACTATATAGCTGTGAAAATAAATCAATTCAGCTATATATTAATGTATACATCTCAGGAACATTAACTGTGACTAAAATAGCATGTTTCAGATGAATAGATCAAGTATGGCTCTATTTATATAATGTTCAAACACATGCAAAACTAAGCAATGTATTGCAAAAGGGGAAACCCAACTGGTAAACTGGTTAATTATCTGTTGTTATTAATTATCTATTGCTGTGCGACAATCTACCCCAAAAGACAGGACTTACAACAACAATAAATCATTCATTATCTTTCCTAGTTTCCATGGGTCATGAATTTTCACAAGGAAAGGAGGAAGACCATTCCATGAAGTTGGGAGCCTCAGCTGGAAGACAGACCGGAATCATCCGGAGCATCTGTCACTCACATATCTGGTGCTTGATGTTGGTCTCCACCAGTAGCTTGGCAGAAGCTGTCAGCCAGAATATCAGCACACGGCCTCTGCATGAGGCCTGACCTTTTCACAAATGGAGGCTGGGCTCTCGGGGCAAGCATCCTCAGAGAAACTCCATCCTTTTTACGACCTGGCCTTGGTATCCACATAGCATCATTTTCACATACTACGTATTGACAGAGACTGTCACCAGCCCCTTTCCAGATTCAAGTAACAACAGACATAAATGCAGGTCAGTAGCTACTTCTGGTTGAGAGGAAAGAAGATAGTATTCTGGAAGGGCTCACAGAGGTCTTTTTAGGTTATGAATTGTGCTATTTTTAAACTGAGGAAGGGGCATTGTGCTGATGTTCTTGGTTCATCTCTTCTCAAAGTCCTCAAAATGTACCTTATCACATCCATCCCCTGCTTAAACCCTCCAGGGCATCGCCATTGCTCTAAAATCAAAGTTTGGCCTTCTGAGTATGTTGAAACAGACTGTCTATATTCTAGCCGCTGCCCAGTTCACTAGTCTAATCTTTCACTTGCTATCCTTCATCTGATTTTTATTATATGGCAATTTTTTAACAGTAAAAAAAAAAGTAGGCCCATACCAATTATGATTATAGAACCCCAAAACTGTTCCTTTTTCAACTGGTCTGCATGGATCCTTGACCTTTTGTGTCCACACCCTACATGTGAGTATTCGGCTTGTTGTTGCTATTGTTTTGCTTCGTGGCGTGACTTTGTGTGTCCTGTGAAAGTGCGGCCATGAAACCAATCCCTGCAACGATACTGATTCTTTACGTCTTTCCTGGAACCCAAAGAGGAAAAATATGTGTTGTGCATTTGAAAAGCTGGAAATAGCTGTTCAGGCTCTGGGTTTATTTAAACCACTGACTTCCAATTTGTAACTAATTTGTAAAATTCTCCAAATGGCGCTAGACAGAGAAGGCTCTACTAAAAATTTTGAAGGTGTTTACTTCTGTGAATTATGTAGGTGCTTTTCTCACTTCCTTGAAGGGCACCTCTTCTAGTTAGCACAGCTTGTGCTTGGCATGCTCCTTGGCTAAGGACACATCCTTGAATTGACTTTTCTGTCAGAACAGATTCCTTATGTTTCAGTCTATCAACAAGTATTTGTTGTGCAACCCCTGCATGCCAGGCACTGTGCAAAGCCCTTGGTATTCATGGTAAACAAGATTTCCGTGGTTCTTGCCACTATGGAGTTTATAGTCTACTGACTATACAAGAAACCCTGTTTTATTTTGTTTTGTTTTTTATATTATACTTAAAAAATTATGTTATTTTATTATTGTCTTGAAAATGTATAAAAGGATAAATTCCCTTTGCAACTTCCTACTTATACTTTCTTACTGACCGTTTGATTATGTGATCCATTTACAAATATAGAACACAACTGAACTGCAAATAAAGCACAGAGAATTAAAAAACATGCATGAAAAATAATAGCACTATAACTTGAATAAGTCTAGGTGATCATGGGTTACCTGTTAGGCAGCCATTTCTTCAACCACTAAAAATTGTAGTTCATGAAATAGACCGAGGTCAAATAATTGAGTCATGTACCTCCTGTTTCCTGCATGCTGTACATTTTAAACTGGATGTTTTGGCTTCCTTTATTTTTGAGAAAATCTTATTTTCTACCAACATAGAGAAAACATAACATTTAATAAGAATCTGTCACAGTTGATAAAGTACTGATACCTTCTGATGCCAAAAGGCAAGAGTGGTCTTAAGATGGCTACAGATATTCACAGCCACAAAAAAGATACAATCTATATTGCAGATATTTGCAAGAGACACATAACATCTGTGCATTAGTGGTACAAGCAAGTAAAATAATTTAAGTGATTTTCACTTGCTTATGAATCTTCTTTTCCCAGCCTCAAGTAATGCTGTTTCTCTTACTTCTAAATGCTTTTCCAAACAATGGAGAAAAACACTGATTTTCAGTAAGACTGATTTGTTGTAACAATTCTAAATATATCAACTCTTTATTTCTTTTCTGGGATTGCTGCAAAATAAGTGAAGTCTGCTAAGTTTTGGAAATTTAAGTGATTCTCAAGAAACGTTCCCACAGGTAAAAATAACAGAAAAACAGAGAATAAAAATCTACTTGACTAGGTTTTCTCTCCTGTAAAAACAAACTCACAGAAAATCAACATGAATTCAGTATTTAAGCCATTTTTCATATAGAGATAACTTTCCAAGAAACCTTGAAGCAATTTGGAAGATAGTACTCCCTTAATTAATTTTCCAAAAAGTTTTGCGGAAATATTAACCTTCTTAAACTGAGGTACATGCCAGTTTTTTCTAATCATCTATTTATTATATACGCTGTATGTGTATGTGTGTATATATGTAAAATATTTATTTACAGAAGAACAAGGTAGATCTAAGAGCAGAAAATGAACTGTTTATTTTGCTCTCTTCCCTTAAATACTACCAAAACATCCTCTCTTGCTGCCTATTCAAACACTGGCAAATTACTTAGGAACAAGAATATATATTTGGGGTGTATTTTTTTAGTTACCACATCAGTGTCAGGGATAAGAAATATTATCAGGTATGTGCCTTCCAAAAATACCACATTATCAAAAAAAATAATATTATACCAAGTAGTTCAACCAACCATTCATTAAAGTGTGGGGTAACAGCAGTCACAGACTAAAGTCAAGAAAAAGTAGGTCTGGCATAGCATAGAGAAAAGCACTTTGTCTGCAGCAGATCAAGCACTAAAGTTTGGATATACAAGAGGAAATTACTTCCTCTTCAAGTTTTTTTCTTTTTTTTAAACTTTAAGTGTTTATTCATTCAACAAATATTGATTAGGTGTCCACTACATTAAAGATACTGTTCTGGGTATAAGGGATGTAGCAGTAACAAGCCTCTGTCCACATGAGTCTTACTTTCTCATAGGGAAGACAGTAAATAAACAAGTAATGGAACACCTGTTAGTGATATGCTACAATTACAGGTGGCATATCTTAAGTTTAAAGTCTATCAACATCATCATCACACCCACGATTGTTGGCATTGGAGTGACCACGTTCAAACGACTTTTATTCAACACTCATAGGAATAACCACTAAGCTAGATGATACACAAAACATGTTAAAAATACTATCTCTGTACTCTAGAGGCTATCTGATGCAGATGAAATTGGCACAAGTCAACAAAGGAAAATTTAATTTATGAAAAATTAATTTATAATCAACAATGGGTGTTATAGAATGTGAGGCTATAATTATAGAAGGAATAGGATGTGATATGTAGATTGCCTGTCTCATTTTATGAGTCATAAGCTGACTTCTTTAAATGTTTACCAACATAGGAACGGACTTTCATTTAACTCGGGGACTTGTCACAGATGTTTTTCCCTTTTCAGTTATTCTGAGAATGCTCAAGTAATCCTTTGATACTTTCTGTTGCAGCAGAGCCAGAGGTGGCCATGAACAAGGAAAACTCCTTCCTGGGATTATGGCATCATCCCTAGAAGATCCTTATTGTTGTCATCAGTGTTGTCTTGTTCACAAGGAAAGCCCAGCACAGAGGCAGGGTATCATGATAATCAGCAACAGAAAACAAAGTAGAGCTGGGTCGCTCGTGAACTAAGTCTGACAACTGGAAACCCTGAACCTTCCTACCCACAGCCATTAACGTTCCACAGTATGACCCCTCAATTCCAATGATAACAACTGGTGGACTTCCTATTTAATAAATTCCTGAGAAATAGTAAAATTGATGTAATATATCTCTATTTGGACAGTGTCTTCTGTATCAGGTGATATCATAGGGTGCTGGTCAGGTTATAGGTTACTCTTTCTCTTTCAACATTTACTTACACGTATTTGTGGGGTCCAGTGTGTTGTTTCAATACATGCATATACTGCACAATGACTCAGGGTAGGTAGCATAGTTTTGTACCCATTAGTTCACCACTTCCCCTCCCCCACTCCCTGGCCTCTGTCAACGTTTAGATTCCTGTTTCTTGAGTCACATGTCAATGCATGACCCAATCAGCTACAGCAGTGTGTCTTATGGTTCATGTTGCTTCAGCTAAATACTCTGAGTGGGGGAGTTTCTCAGGATGAGGTAGTGAGTAGGACAGAAATGAAAAGTGTGTCTCCATATGAAATGGACTGTGTTACCTGGAATCAACCACAGACTACACAACTGATTAATCAGCTATTCAATAGTGGAGCTCAGGGTGCCAAGGCAATGAGAAAGAAAGCTGGTGAGTTTAGTTGAAGGGAAGGTGAGTAAAAGAGACAGGGGAAATTGAGTAAGCTATCCAACCCAGAGAGCGTGTGTTTGGGCAGTTTGCAACCGGGTGGTTGGATATATAGGGGTACCATAAAGAGAGTGGAGCCCCTGTAGGAGGAAGAGCCTTGTTGTAATGGAGTGTAACTGACAAAGCGAGGTGGGTACAAAAACCATATTTTCCTCTTTCTTAATTTTCCTAGAAGCCAGCCTTCTATGTGTGACACAAAGTGGCAAATTTTCAGTTTTCATCTGGATACTTAACAATAGAAATGCAGTCTTGATGTTCACGAATAATCTAGCAAGCAAAAAGATGAGAACGTAAAATGCAGAAGCCAGCAGAATCCTTCTGAGACTGGAGGTGTAAACAGGTACTAACAGAAAGGAGCTGAACGCATCTTCCCAAGCCACACGGTTCTTTCTGGACGTACTCAAAGACTCAACTCCTGGTCTTCTACAGGAAGGGGTAAGAGGCCTGACAGTAAAACTACTTACCACACACTCTACGAGACCCCTATTGCTTCCCAGAGGGTCTGGCTCTGTACTCTTTAGCACAAGGAAAAGCACATGGTTTGGAAAGAAAAGTTGTTGATGTCTCTTTCCCCCAAAGGTACTTCAAGCAGTAAATGAACACACACAATCTGTGTTTATTTTCTTTTAAGTATATTTTTGAAAATATTCTGTGATACAAAATATGTGTTTTCATTTTGCTTGCCATTCCTTGGCCATGAGTGATGCATTTTATCCATATTCATAACCATGCACAAACTTTCTATTCATAGCTCTCTCTGCAGTATAAATTCTAGTGGCAAGGAGGAATTTCCTTGTGTGGCTCGCGTATGGCAATCCTTTACCAGAGGCCTGGCTCCAAATCAGTGTTTGC